AAAAAAAAAAAAAAAGTTTAAAATTGGAGAAAATTTTTAAATACATAATCTTCTGAACAAGAATACAAACCTTGGCTGGAGTAATCATTCCCCCAGATCCTTTCTTTCTGTCCTTGTCGTAAAACTCGATCTTTGGTTTGCCTTTAACGGACCCAGCAGAACGACTCAGCTCTTTACCTTCTAAATTCCTCAGTCGCGCCTCAAGCTAAATGTTAATTAATGATAATTAATAGTAAGATAAAATAAATAATTGAATGAAATTTTTACAGATCACATGAGGAATTACTTTAGCTCTATTCTCCAGACCCATGGAATTATCCTCACCGTCACCAAGCGCATCACATCTAATTGCTAGTGCAGCCTTTGCGGCCAGAGACCTTGAAATTTTACCCTTATGCTTTGGTGCTGCCTGACCAATCAAGGACGCATGATATATGAGTCCATATTTAGGGGTAGCATGCTTTGTCTTGAGTGCTCTGAAAAGAGCCTTCTCAGCACCGAGAATCTGGACAGTGCTTCCAGGCTGCTTGGCCAGATTCAATAAGCTACCTCCATGGGCAATCAGTCGAGCACCAACGAGTTCCCCAACAAGAGCAGTCAGATTTGGGGCAATGGTGTTCATCCTGCTCTTTAAGTAATCATAGAGTTGTGCCCTGTACTCAGAGAGGGAGAGAACTTGGTTGCACAAGTCTTTTATGTTCTCCAAGTCAAGCTCGCTAACTTCAGTTCCCATGGAAATCATGGCTGCCTCTTTCAGTTCTGCCTCGACCTCCTCCGGAAGCACCTGCAACATTTTAGAGCGGGTTTGAGCACAAGAATGAAACAAAATTGAATTTACACAAGAAAATAAATGAAGTCTGCGAAGATAATCTTTTTAAAATTTGTACACTGGCACAAAACAAACGTGGACCAAGCACTATCAAAAACAAAAAAAAAGAAAAAAGAGAAAAAAAAATGTTAATAAGAAAGATAAAAAGGCTGAGGTATACATTAGAGCGTTTCAGATAGCAATCCAGGTGATTGTGCTTCCAATATGAATTAAGATTTTTTTCATGAATATTTGGTTTGATTTCAGTAGCGCATCTTTCGTGTGTGATGCTTTCCTAAAGAAAACAAACTACTAATATCTCTGAACTGACTTTATCATGCACAAGAAATAGAGCACAGGTAACCACTCCAGATGTGTCCCTCAGTACCTCTGCAAATATTTACTTCTTGGCTTTGGAAACTAAATCAGTTCGTTATTATCACTGTACTTGTTGTACCCAATTACTTACAGACATGTGGAAGAAGACACGAAGAATTTACCTCCGAAAAATCAAGCTTGGCAGCATTTGTTCGACTACCCATCAACTTCACAGTCTTGGCATACATGATATTGTCTTGTATGATCTTTGCAAGTTCAGGGAAATGCCAACCATACCATTCCCTAACCCTCATGGCATATGTATTCAGCTCCTTATCAAGGTCATCCAACAAGCTAATAGCTTGTATTATCATTGTATCGACCTAGAATAACCACCATTACAAGTCACAATTAGAGCAATGTAAACAACATGCCACTGCATGTTTTATGTACTTCAAATGCAGCCAAGGAGCAGAGAAAATTAGGAAAGATATACAGAATATCGACATGTAACTGAGAAAATCAGATTTAAACAGGGTGATATTATGGCTTATAACTTCTAAGGCTAAAATCACATGTGCAACTGATAAAATGGCTCTCAATTTCCTATTACCTTCTTACCCCTTTTCCGGAACATGATTTAGTCAACTTCAGTTAAACAAGAATAACTTCAGAAATTTTGCAAGAGTCAGACAACAGAACAGACGCCAAAGCTAACACAGCCACCCAGCAACAACCTCCATTTCGGATCCTCCTAAATTCCCTCATAATTTGTTTATCTTTTACTTCAATTATGACGCAAAAGGAATCCACATTTGTAAAGTAACTGACGCTGTTAAATGAAGTTCTATTACCTTAATTTTCCTTAAGTAAGC